ATGTTTTTCTGACCATACAGACACCTGGCCCTCATTTCCAGCTTTTCTAGTGAGCCTCATCTTCACTGGAATAGGAACTAGCTACTACCCTTCTCATGCACAGAGAAACTTACCTATCTGCAACAATCAAAAGGGGATGAACACAGGGACTGACATATGTAGTGTGACATCTCCAAGTTACAAATCAGATCCTTGTGGGTTAGCAGGAATCACAGACTGAATCCTCATAATTTAATATGTAATTAGAACAACTGGGGAGGATAAGCAAGGGTACCTGTCTCTATTCCTTAACCTTCCCTCCTCTGCTTCCCAAACTGTCATGGCTGCTTGGGTAGTTTTGATGCAGGGTTCTGCTGCTGCTGTTGTTGTTGTTATTATTATTCTCTTATTTTCTCTTTATGAGACTCTTTAAATGGCATGGAATGTGTGGTCACTACCATCTGTCACACACTGTTCTGTCCAAGGAGAAGACAGTGCAGTGCACACATATATATTCCTGTTTCAACTTTAATGGGTCCACTGGCATATATCTGCACTGGAAAATGTTCAAATCTGAGAAAGCAGGAATAAAAAGAAAGGCTTGTAACTGCCCTTGGTTTTGCAGAAAATGTGTTTCTGCTTCTTCAGGTCCTGAGAAAGCTCTTTTGGTTATATGAACTTGCAGATAGCTCTGGATTCCTCAGCTATTGAATTGAGATTTCCATTTGGATCTACTGACAACCTTTTAGATTTTCTCTGACAAACTTTAAAGCATTTTCAAGACCTAGAAACTGGCTCACAGTGGGAAATAAATTCCTGAGCTCACATGCTAAGCATCCGCCAACTCTGCATTCACATTTTTCTGCAGTTTTACTTAATCTTCTGCTGACTGACTGATCATCATTGTTGCTCCTTCCACCCGCCACATGGTAGAATGCCCCACGTGCTCAGGGAATGTTGTGGGGCAACTGATATAAAGACTTCTATTGTATGAAGTTGGGAAGATTGGCATCTCGTGCTAGACAATTCACTGCTGGGAGGTTAATAAGATAGCAAAAGCTTGTAACATCTGGCAAGGAGAAAAAATGAACAGAGAATTCATGACTGAAATCTGTTTCAAAAAAGATATTACTTGTGTGTCTTGAAATATGTCTACAACAATTAAGACCAAGGTAATAATTGACTGTCCTGCTGAACCCAGGACATTGACGTCTGGCTACTTTAAAAAAGTTATGCCTGTTTTGTAAAGCCCATAAGCAAAGACAAATGCAACGTAAGGGAAAGTATATGATGAAATTGCATTGTATGAGAAGGTCATGGCTCTGCAGATGCTCCATGCTGTGCTACATCACACCAGAGAGGAGCTACAGCCCCTGTACTGCCCCAGCATCTGTAGATCTGCCCTTGATTAGCAGGGACTTCAATGAGGTTTAAGCACAGGTATAACACTGAGGATGTTAAGGGTCCTAGGGACTCAGAAATGTACCTGGTCACACACACTTTCCAGCCATGAAGGGTTTTGTGTAGTTAGTGACTCTGTTAGACTGCTACTGCTGTCTGCAAAATAGGGCGATGCAAGTTCCTGGTCCCACCCACCATCAAGTGAAACTTTTCCTCCCTGTGTTGAAACATCCGCGTGGAGAAACCTTCCCAGGCCAGGGAAGGTGGGGCCCCAGGGCTGCCGTCAGACGCGTTGCATGCAGCAGGTAGGCACTGAATTCTTTTACAACTTGCTGTTGTCCCTTTCCATGCAAGCATAAAACCAACCCAGATTAAGGTACTGCTTTGATCTTGCTCATTCCTTCTTACACATGTTGAGTAGGTTACGTATGACTTTAATAAAATAGAGATGGCAACCCATGGCTTTTGTACCTGTGCAGACTATTAAAGCAAGACAATCTAGAGCAGTGCTTTCCAAATAACCATAAATTAATCCCTCTCTCTGTGACACATTTACTATTTTTATCATCATACACACTGTCAAATTGCATTTCTTACTAGCAATTTCAGCTGCTTGAACTACAACTAAATGTGCTGTTTAAGACTGTATGTGAAACTAGAGATGCCTATATATTCTCATGGCTGTGGTTAAAAATGTGGTGCTCCATTGTTCTAGGTGCTAACTTCTTTATTTTTCTTATGTGATTGAACAGGTTAAAGGCAATGAAAGAAGTGGATCTGCTGAATGCCCATATGCGATTGTTTGAAATGTTTGAGGAAAACAGATTCTTAATGTACTTATTGATTCTGTGATTGTTTTTACTAGAATTAGTTTTTAAAACATTTTGTTTACTATAGGTATGTGTGTGTTCTGAACGTGGGGAAAGCCAGATGATAATGCCTGCCCTGTGTGAGGTGACAATCTTCAGAATACAGCAGATAGTAAAATCCTGGCTGGCTGAGAGCAGGAAGCGTTCTGAAGTATTCCCACAGGGATGTAGCAAGATCATAGGTAGCTGTCTTATGTTCACTGTACAGTTGCAAGCAGGTATATCAATAGACTGGGGTGGCTAAAGGGGGAGCTTGGAGCTCCAATGTAAAAGGCAGTATAGAGGAAGTGGAAACAGGGCTAGGCTATGGTGGCAAGATTTAGAAACACTGCCTGAGTTTGTAGGGGTAGCCTCAGGACATCAAAACTTAAATGCAGTTGAGATTTGCACAGGAAGTGTAACAAGAAGAGCTTCCACTGCATAAAAAGGCTGAGCAGGGAAAATGTGTAACCACTGCTTTATGGAGGGGCAGCAGACACAGGTAGTTGAGGCATTCTAAAAATTCTTTGCCATCTTTACCAACAAGCTATCCCATTCCTCTGTGCTTAGGGAAAGGGTTCAAATAGAACTACAAGCAGTATGAGTGTTTAGTCAGAGAACTTGTGAGAGTTTGACCAGATGATTCCATGTGACCAGACAGGCTACATCCAAGGTGCCAGGAAAACTGGTCTGATGTCTCTGCAAGGCTTCTCTATCATATTGGAAAGGATATGGAGATCATGAAATCATTTCCAAATGATTGGAAATAGGTAAATGTTGCACCCTTCTTCGAAAATGCCAAAGACAATCTAGGGAACTATAAATCGATCAGCATCACTGTGGTCCTCATGGAACTTAAAAGGGGCAAGTCCTCTTGGAGCACATTTCTGGGCTTATGAAGGAGAAGGTGGTGATTGGGAACACTCAGCATGGATCTCACCAGTGGTAAATCATACCAGTGGATACGCTGTGGGCAGGGCTGCCATACAGAAGGACTTGGGCAGGCTGGAGGAATGGGCCAGCAGGAACCTTATGAAACTCAGCAAGGACAAAGGCAATTTCCCTCATCTGGAGTGCTGGTCCCTTGCACCAATACAGGCTGGAGTCCACTGGCTTTTTTGAGAAGGCCCTCAGAGTCCTGGCAGCAAAGATGGCTAATAGCATCCTGACTCTGCTGGAGGGAGTGCAGCTAGGAGCTTGATGCAAGGGATTATGCTCCTGCTCAGCACCTGTTAGACCACATATAGACACTGTGTCCTTTTGAGCTCCCCCAGGACAGAAAAGGCATTGAAAAACTGGAGCCAAGTTCAGCCAATGGCCCTCAGGATGGTTGGAGTTGCAGCCATGTAAGGGAGAGCTAAAGGAACTGGATTTGTCCAGCCTGAAGAAGATACGGCTTCAGGTGGATCTCATAGCAGCAGAAGATTAAGCCAGGCTCTTCACAGTGGTAATTGGTAGGAGGACAAGAAGCATAAATTGAAACAAGCAAGGTTCAGCCTGGGAATCATGAAAAGAAAAACATGGGAAAAAATAATACTGGCATTGGGTAAAATGATTTAGGTGTCAGGCTTTAACAGACCATAAATCCTGAACATTCAGGCACCATTTCCTGTATTCCTGGCTCCATCCACTTCCTGGAGAAAGCTAAGGTACTTTACCCACCACAGTGATTTTCCATTGGTGAGCAGTGATAGAGCCCAAATTCATAATTATAACAAGTATATTTTTCCTGCAAAACACAGCTATAATACTTGAGTTAGTGCATGCTCAAGCTTGTGTCCACATTTCATGGTGCAGAGCTGTATGGACCTACCTGCCAGGTTTCCTGTGTGGAATAGCCTTTTTTATTTGGCTTGGCCTGTGAGTTAGGCTTCTTGGCAAAACTTGTTAACTAGGACCTCGTGCTGCAGGAATGGGTTGTGCAAGCACCTGACCATACTTATGCCTGGCTAGCTTGAATGCTGCTCTGCTCCTCTACTGTTCCTCTTCAGTAGTTAGCAAAGGAATGGCCACCCAAGGTCTACTTGTTTCAACTGGTATGGCTCTGCCCACTGTACGTGAGTATTTAGTGGGTAAAAGGGTTGGTTTTGTTTATTTTTTCTATTTAAGCAAGGATTAACCTGATGTGGTAGGAGAGGAGTAGGATGGAGGAACTGGGCAGTTCCAGACTTTCCATTGCAGAAACTCAACATGAGTTCCTCTCTTGCTTCCACAGCCAGAGACTGTGACCATCATTCCTTCCCGCACATGGAGCATGCTCCAGGATTACTTGCAACTCACAAGGGTTTCAATTTAGACATGTATTCTCTGATTTTGTATGTGAAGGAGAGTGCCTGATCCCATCTCAGGCAGGGCTTGATCATACAGCAAAGTGGTGTCCTCTCTCACCTTCTCCCAGCCCTGAGTTTCCTCTGAAAAGAATGGAAAAGTGGGCTGTTCGTGATGAGCGTAGCATTAAGGATTCTGTCAGCCAGTGGTCTCAGAATGGCCAAGAAGTTTCCAGAATTTGGATCCCTGGTCTGGCAAGCATGTATTGGTGACTTTTTGGGTCAGAAGTTAAGATGGGGTGTAGAGAGTGTATCAATGTGATTGTCCCTATCCACAGGGATGCTACTCTGGCACTTCTGCTTGACTAGTAAGAACTGACCTACTGTAAGTGAGTCTTGCAGCCCTGCACTTGAACTTCTAAAGGGCATTACTTTTCCTCAAGAAACTTTGCCTTGAATTAGTTATTCTTTATCATTACCCATTAATGATACTTAAACCAAAGCATTTAGCTTAATGAGTTTATTATTATAGATCCTTAAAAGTGTAATTCTGTGTAATTTGGGGGAATATCAATTCTCAGGAAAGGAACAATCCAGGATGAATTATGTTGTGTTAAGTTAACCTGTGTGCCCAAACACTCTCATAGCATAGTAGGGCAGCAATAAAACAAAATGTGGTTCCACCCCTTCATTCATGGGCCTGAATAGTTCCCTGGAGGGTGTGTGGCAACATGGGTAATTTACTGCTCGTAGCAATAGGTGGTTTTCTGGAGGAACAAGTGTCAGAGAAACTGGATTGCAAGAGTGGTTCTGAGTCACTGAGTCTGCTGAGATGCTCCTGCATTGGTCATTGCTCAGGTATGAGCTTGGAGTCAAACTAACAACCAGCTAAATGGTTTGGAGGATTTTCCTGTTGAGGGTGAGGTTGAGGAAGTAGACTGTTGTCTATTTGTCTTTGCAGTGCTGTACGCAGCAGTAAAAGGGAGACTTGGAGCTGCCCCTCTGCATTAATAGCTCATGGCAGGTCCAACTCTTCATGTACACAGAGGAAGACCATATGCAGCTAGTGTTCAGAGTGCCCTGCAGGGTACATTGCTGCACTGTGTTTAGTGTCTAGCATTCTCTTTAGCCTCCAGATATTATTCCTTCATTTTAGTGTCAGGTAGGAAAGAGAATCTATAGAATTTCATTACAGGGGCCCGGGCATTTCTCTTGACATCTCCTGCTGTAAAGAAAGGTGAACCATGAGTAAGAGCAGGCTTACTTGTGAAGGCAAAATGTTGCCTGTGCCTGAAGAAGAGAGCTTCGCCAGTATTATCGAAGACATGAAAATACGATCCATTGTGGGCATTCTGACATGGAGAGCTGAGTAGCTAGGCTTGGGCAGCAAAGCCTTCATACTCGCTGCTCATGTTCTGTGGAGAGTCCTGCTGAAGTTCATGACTAAGTTGTTCAACCACACCTGAATCTGAGTTCTTAGGGGATAAAGCCTGTATAGCTGCTTCCAGTGTTGTAAAGGCACAGGTGATTTTAGCGTGAGGCACCAAATGTTACTAGCTACTGAGTTAGGGAGTTAACATTCCTAGAGGCATTTGTTAAGCCAGCAGTGCCCACTGGTATAGCTGATACTACATGTGCCTGTTTACAGCCTGCAGCAATAGTGTTGCTTCCTTTGCACTGTTCAATTTGTGCTAGACTTCTGTATATTTTTCATAGATTTGGGGGGACTGGAGACTAGAACTGCTCCACCTAGCCTTAGGTTGCCTACAAGCTGCGCAGGCTTGCATGCAGAAGCACTATTGCTAAATTAATTTCTCACACCTCAGACCAGCCTGACAGACGATAGATTTGGCAGCTGAAATAAGTGAGTCCTCCCCTGCATATGAGGCAATATAATTGCACCACCAAATTAAGGAGAGTGTAACAACTTTTAGTCTAAGTTTGAAGCTGGCTCTGCTTTGCATGGAAGATTCAAGGAGAGAGATCCCTTCCAACTTCAATTATTCTATGATTCTAAAAAAAGGATTTTTTTTCAAGAGAAGCTACAAATCTGTTCTCCCAGCTCTGAAGTCATCAGGGAAATGGCAAGGATTTCCCATGGAGGTCCAAGATAAGTAAAGATCCCAACTCTTTCTGTCTGTGGACTTTGTGAAACACATCAGTAATTAATATACCAGTGAGTTTACCATTCCTAGCATTAATGAACCCATATTCACCTCTGTGTGCTCTAAATTTGCCCCTAAATTATGCGTAGAAATGCCCACCCGAAATGGCACATAGAAATGAAATCAGAATTCACAACTGGCTGGATGCTCCCTGCATGCCTGTGCTGACTTTACAGTCACTGCCATCTTAACAGTAGTTACTCTTGCTTAACCCAGTGAGGTGAAGGCTGGATTGAGCCCTGTCCCTGGTTATCTGCTCTCCCTACAGTGGGTGAATGAGGAGGGGTTATCGCATGCACGGCAGGTGCCAGAGGAATTCTGTGGCACTTTTATTTCCTCTTCTTGAGGAATTCACAGACGAAGTAGATGGTGACTTGGCACTCAGAGTCATTCCACTCTCCCGTGCTGAGCATTTCCACACAGTCCTCATGGCCAGCTGGGTCATGAGGCTCCCCTTCCTTCCAGTTGCTGTAGTTCTGCAGTGGGCTGTTGTCTGCATACACAAACTGTCCTTCCTTCTCCAGGTCATTCAGCCCAATGAAAGCTCGGAAGAGGCCACTGTTGGAGATGTAGTCAGCAATCAAGGCATTGGTTGCCTCATCTTTAGGCATGGCCAGTGTTCCTCCTCTGTCCCTGCAGTGGATCAAGGCTTCTCTGTAATTCTTCTCTTCTTTCACGATGTAATAGAATTTCTCATCTGTCTCCCTGATACCTGCTATAACTTTAAAGGGGAAGAAAATAACATAATGGCATGTCAACAGATATTGAAGGTGCTTCTGTTCCAGTATGACAATGAGATGATTTTTACATTAGAATTAATAAAAGGGAGAGAGGAAAAGTCTTCCCACAGCTGAGTTTGTAATAAATGATGAGGACACTATCAAGTGGGACTGACAAGCACCTTGCACACATTAGGACAAGAACTACTGAGTCCTGATTGGCATATGTCTCCTGTGACACTTAAGCTTTACTTCCTGGATATATAGTACTAATCAAATAAAGGCATGCTAAATGGTCAAATAATTCTGGATCATCCCCACTGATCTGCATGTTTTTGAATAACAACTGTGGAAGAGTGCCCTAGGATAGAAACACAGGAGTATAAATAGCTTTTCAAGTCCTTTCTGTGTAGACAAAAATCAGTGTGACTGCTAAAATGAGACATTTAAATACAGCCTGATATTCAGAGCTGCTCTGTAGCCACTAAGTGGCATTGACTTGGACAAAAACTGGCTGCTCACCAGCTTTAAAAGCCAAACTTCTCAACCAGTGTGTATCCTAGTGAATTAAGCAGTACCAAGGAGCATGCCTGAGCAGCTGGAACTTGATTGTCCCTGGTCATGGATAGCAATCAGGAATGGTCCTGAGCAGAACTTTGACCTGGGGTAACTAATACTTTCCCAAACAATTCAGGACTTAGTCTAGGCACAGTCAGTTAGTTAGTAGAGGGACACTCTGGGTAATATGGCATTCAGTTTTGTGGGATTTGTAATATAGATGAGTGCTGTTCTGTGCTGGTTGCCCACAGTGCCAGAGAACCGTCTCAAACACATTTAGTTTACTGATACAGCCCTAGGGCTAGAAGAGTGGTTGAGCCTTCTCAAAATCTCTGTTATGCCAGGAAATGTGCCTCCTTCCTTTCAGTGGGGACAGTTTGCACTGTCCATGCGGCAGCACTGCCTGCAGACATGGCTTCTTACAGAATCATAGAATGGTTTGGGTTAGAAATGATCTTAAAGATCATCTACTTCTCTGCCATTGGGAAGGGACACCTTCCACTAGATCGGGTTGCCCAAAGCACCGTCCAATGCCTCGAACACTTCCAGGGATGGAACATCCACAGCTTCTCTGGGCCACCTTTTCCAGTGTCTCACCACTCTCACAGTGAAGAACTTTTTCCTAACATCTAATGTAAAGCTATCCTCTGTCAGTTTAAAGCCATTCCCCCTTGTCCTATCACTACATACTCTTGTGGAAAGTCCCTCTTCAGATTTCTTGTAGGCCCCCTTTAGGTATTTAGGTATTGGTATTTAGGTATTATAACCCATGCCTTTGAGTGTTGGTCGTTTGTTACAGAAAAATTATGCTTGCATGAGGGAAGCACTAAGAGCACCGTGTCTGCAGCCTTCCTGTGCAGCAGAAAGATCAGTAGGTTCCTATGGCTTTCCCTGCCTCTCTGGAGCATATTGGCACAAACTTTTCTCTTTCATTGCCTGTGTGGCAGCAGAGCTTGAGCAGTTTGACAGTGCAGAGGCGGTTAGCGAGCTGTGCCTTGTGCTTTTCATGAGTCTTTCTGTTATGTTGTTGATAATTTATGTGTTGCTTTTGCTTTTGGTCATCTGCTGCTTATATCCTTATAGGTGTCTCTTTTCTATATGTTTTCAGAGTGCCTCACACAGTGCAACCCTCTCTCCAGATCTTCTGTGGATGTTGCCATAGAGTAGCAATGGTGGAAGAATAGCATCACATCAAATACATAAGGATCCTTACCATTCTTTAAAAACTTGATGGATGTGTTAAGACGAGCAACGTTGATATTCAGTTGTCCAACAACTCTGCGGTATCTTCCACAGTCACAGACCGTGCCTGATGCAATAAAAAAAATAGAGGACTTACCTGTTTAGAAGCATTTGTGTATGTGTGTGGAGGGCCCTTTATAGCCCACTTCCAAACTTTCTGAAGACTTGGCTCCATTTGTGGAGAGCTAGTCTCATCCTGCCTCACTGGCCATAGTTCTGTTGATCAAAGAGCTTTATGTTGTGGCTTTGTACACTCCCTTGCTAACTGGCGTAAGAATCCCTACTGTTAAAAGCATGGATTGAAAAGTTTGCCATCTTTCTACCCATATCAGTGTGGGATTTGCATATCGCTGCCCTTATCATTTTTTATTTCATCTAGCTGTAGAGATGTGGCTTGTGGTAATCACCACATCTGAATGCCAGTGGTCTACCTTGTATCTGTAAACAGTACGGGTTCCCCAGCCTTCTAATAGAAAGATCAGCATCCATGAAATGGGGAACTGTTGCTTTCTCAGTGAATGAGTATTGTGATCATGCATAGAGGTGTGATTGGCAAAACTTTGGTAGAAGGACTCTGTTATGCTGCATGCAGCTGTGGTCCAGCAGTAATAGTCTATACCAACTCAAATAACAACTTTCAAGCACTGAAGTCTCAGTTATATTTTCATTGGTAAACTGAATTTTGGCTTGGTATAGGTTTATGTTTGTTCCTCTGTTATTCTGAGGAAAAAAAGTTGCTGATGATTTCACATTAAGAACCAAACTGGCACTGCATATGAAATATCTTGAAAATTAACACAAGATGGAAAACCAGTCAAGGTTATTAAGACTGAACAGAATTTTCTGGGTCATCAGATCCAAATTCTCCTATTGTGAGCAAATGCATTGCATTTATTTGACAACAGATTATGCTGTATCTAAAATCACTTATTCTTTTCAACCCCATGCTCCTATTAGGAAAATTAATAGAATAACTAATATGTATTAATATGAATCCTTAATAGAATTAGGACTTAATTCCTTCGGTATTCAGAAACTTTCTTCTAGTTTCCAGTATAAATATACCATTGGCCCATCTATGTGTTAGGTTCTGTGATATCAAACATTGTCCATGAATTTAGGTTATTCTTCTGCATGTTTCAGTATGCTGGTATATTCATAGGTATCAGTCAGGTCCCTACCCAAGTCTTCATTTTTCTAAACAAAACTTTTTCAGTCTCTGCCTGGTCATCTACTCTCAAGTTTTTCCATGGGCCTAAAACTTCATGAAACTCCAGAAAAAACAACCCTGAAATCAAAGACCCAGCAGACTTGACCATTGTGCAGAGGAGGATGCACAGCTTACCTGCTTTTCCCTTTTTTCCAGAAACCCCTGATAAGCCTTTAGCTCCTTTGTCACCTGAACAAAGAGCAAAAATACAGTCTCAAATCTCAGACAGCGCACATGTCAGGGGAGACTATTTGAAAAACCTGTTTAATAATACATTAATGGTGTGCTTTTGATAGGAAGCCCTGATGTGCTGTACCAGCAGATGTGCCAAATCAAATAAATTGTGATAAATTCTGGTGTATGGAAATAGAGAACCCTTTAATAGCTAACTCACTGATAACACAGGCATCTTGTGTGCTGCTGGCTCCTGGTACCACTTACTTTGAACATAAACTGCAGAACGATCCTGAGAGGTTGAAAGCACCCATGAAATCTGTGAGAGGTGAGACCTGATTTCTCACATTGCCTTGCACGAGAGAGCCCTTCCCTGAGTTCAGTAGCTCCATGATGGGATGAGGCACCAGATGAAGCTGATGTGCACTAAGCAACTGAATTCATGTGTGCAACACTTTATGTTGTGCAGGCACCAGTTCGCACCTGCACAAAATGAGGTCAGTAAGGAACAGCATTTCATATCAGCTATAGTCCATGGAAATCTGACTTATTTTCATCCAGTTGTTTGTACCTTCTTCTGTAAACCATAAGAATGATAGAAATACTTCCCCAAATGCTGTGCTACTATGTAAGTGGAAGTGACTAGCTTTTTAATAAATCTCAGTTGTAATTTGGATCAGGAAGAGCTGGACTTTATCTGAAATACATGTCAGCTCTTTTTTTATGAATTAAAACCTTCAGAGGCCAAAAAATACGAATACTTGCTCTGCCTTGTTGATGGCCATGTTTTGGTATTGTTTCCTTTATATGGTTGTGTAAAATGAATTAGGAGTTGGGTGTGATTTTAATGAGCATTGCTTGACACTGCACACTTACAAGCTCAAATTTCAGGGTTGCTTCATTAAGAACTTGAATGTTTCATGGTAGATTTAAACAGTGACTTAGTGACCTTTGCTTCTGTAAATAAAGAAAGAAAATGAGAAAAACTAGAAGGGGCAAATAAATTGTACATTCAGGTTGAGAGCGAGCTTGATTTAAAGGCTCAGAGCACTGGTTTACTTACAGATAAAAATAAGTAGTTTGTGGGATTTTCAAGTTCTAGTCTCCTTTGGTGACTGAAGAGAACTTTAGGAGATAACCATCTGGGTACTTCTGAAGATTAGTCCTTCAGGCCAAATTCTCTTGTTCTTCTCTGATCCGTGGCTGGCTAGAGGCCATCAAAGGTTTAATCAAAACATTGATTTGGGAAGCTCCTGGAGAGTTGGTTCTATCTGGTATGCTGGTTAGAAACGAGAATTCCCCTGGGGATTGTGGTGTCCCTGCTCAGCTTTCAAGGCAGATCTCCTAGCAGCAGAGGTTATATTCCTTCTAAGTAGCTCTTTAGGAATGCCAGAAAGTCAAGGTCCCTCTGGATGGCATTCCTTCCCTCCAGCGTATCAACTGAACCACACAGCTTGGTGTCATCGGCAAACTTGCTGAGGGCGCACTCAATCCCACTGTCCATGTCAGCGACAAAGACGTTGAACAAGATTGGTCCGAACACTGATCCCTAAGGGACACCACTCGTTACTGGTCTCCAGCCGGACATTGAGCCATTGACCACAAGTCTTTGAGTGCAGCCATCCAGCCAGTTCTTTATCCACCAAGTGGTCCATCCATCAAATTGATGTCTCTCCAATTTAGAGACAAGGACGTCGTGTGGGACAGTGTCAAACGCTTTACACAAATCCAGGTTGATGATGTCAACTGCTCTACCCCTGTCCATCAGTTCTGTAGCCCCATCATAGAAGGCCACCAAATTGCTCAGGCAGGATTTCCCCTTAGTGAAGCCATGCTGGCTGTCACCAAGCACCTGGTTGTTTTTCATGTGCCTTATCATGCCTTCCAGGAGAATCTGCTCCAAGATTTTGCCAGGCACAGAGGTGAGACTGACTGGTCTGTAATTCCCCAGGTCATCCATTTTCCCCTTCTTGAAAATGGGGGTTATATTTCCCTTTTCCCAGTCACTGGGAACTTCACCTGACTGCCGTGATTTTTCAAAGATGATGGCCAGTGGCTTAGCAACTTCATTTGCCAGCTCATTCAGGACCCACAGATGGATTTCATCAGGTCCCATGGACTTGTGCACATTCAGGTTCTCAAGATGGCCTCGAATGAGATCCTCTCCTACAGTGGGCCCAAGGTCTTCATTCTCACAATCCCTGGGTCTGCCTTCCAAGACTTGGGTGGTGTGGTCAGAGCCTTTGCCAGTGAAGACTGAGGCAAAGAAGGCATTCAGAACCTCAGCCTTCTCCAAACCCTGTATAGCCAGCTCTCCCGAGAGCTTCTGGAGGGGGCCTACATTGTCCCTAGTCTATTTTTTTATTTGCTATGTACCTGTAGAATCCCTTCCTGTTATCCTTAATATCCCTGGCCAAGTTTAATTCCAACTGGGCCTTAGCTTTCCTAACCTGGTCCCTAGCTTCCTGGGCAACATCCCTGTATTCTGTCAGTTATCTTGCATATGGTGAATAAAGCAGTATCTCAGTTAGCTCTTGTCACCGATCTTTATGCATAACTTTATTTGGGAGCATTGGTCTCAGCCGTTATTTGATATTACTCCATAGCTGGAACTCTCACAAAACACATATTTACCTTGGGGGAAAAAACAAGAAAGTTCCCACACCAGAGCTTACCCTTTCCACCAATTGGGCCAATTTTCCCAAGCATTCCCTGGTCACCAGCATCCCCCACAGGTCCTTTGTGTCCTGAGAGGAGAAATAAAGAGGAAAAGAGTGTGGATGGTTTCTGTCATTTCTTTCCAAGGCACTATTTAGGTCTCTACTGCTGTTGTTTTTTCCTGAGCTTGGCTAGCCCACACATGTGTGGCAAAGTCAAAATGAGTGGAGCCCGGAGGATGGTTGGCGGAGGACAGTGCAGATTTCTGCTATTACAGCATACAACAGTAGGAGTTTGAAAGCACCTTACTAGAACTGCCTATTGAAATGTGCAGAAACATCATGTTTCCTTACAGAAAATACAAACTAAAACTGCTAGTGAGTATTCAAATAAAATCAGTAAAATATTGATTTTACTTCACAGCCGAACAAGGCTGATGGCAGGTTTTATTTGGTGCTCTTTTTCTCCACGCCAAACAAAACTCTTTCTTCCTTGTAAAGTTCTTGTTGCTTTGCTGGGAATCCTTCTCAAAGCAGGACTGCAAATAGGGAGGTATTAGTTTTGCTATGTGTGCTTTCCCGGTCCTCAGAGCACCTGATGACAGCCCAGTTTAGGGAATCTCAGTTTCCACACTGAATTTAACATCACTAGGATGCTTTGTAAATTGTTACCGATTCCCTTGTATTTTACCTGATCTTCTCTTTAAGGTAAGAAGCAAAACCATATGAATGTATTTAAAAATGGAAAAGGTTTTTTATTTTAACAATAATAACAGGGTGATTTTAAAGTTTCTGTAAAAGTGAAAACTCTCCTGATTAGTCTTAAACCACGTCACGGAAGAAAGACCATGGATACACATTATCATTAAATTCTAATGATAAATTAAGCTTTTTAATTAGAGCATGCAGACAAGGCTGACACCATCTGTGTTTCTTAGTGTATTCCTCCACTTGCCTTTCTTCAAAACAGGGACAACAGACTGGACTTTGTGGAGCATCCTGACTTCCTGTTACTAGGAAATAACTCTCAGAATTCAGTTTCAACTAAGGGGTCATTTCATTAAGAGAACAGTACTCTTCCTCATTATACATATGATCTGGGTCTTCTAGATTGTGCTTATGACCTTACGACAGCTACTTGGGAGAGCAGTAGTAAATGCACTGCTTTGTTACATGACTCTTTTGATTTATTGCCATAGGTAGCTGTCTTACATGTAGGTAGGAATTACAAGCAGCTCTGCGAGTATTGTTAGGTTCACTGATTAATGTTTGACAGGATTGTGAAATCCACTGGTGCAACAGGAATGCAAAGCATTAAAGATCACCGAACACATGCACCAGTACAGTCGTGTGTAATGATATTAATATATCAGTAATAGCCAACAAACCATCATAAATACCTTTTGGTCCTTTTGGTCCAACCTTTCCTTGTTTGCCCACTTCTCCTCTCTCTCCTTTTACACCTTCATCCCCTTCCAAAAAAACAGAAAATAAAGCATCATGGTACATTTTTCTTGGTGCAGTAAGTGCAACTGTACATCCACAGAAAGTAAAGTTCACAGGTTTTTTTCCCTACTAATTTCTTATTTGCAGACACAGTAGCCATGACATAAATTTCCAGAGAAGAGCTGATGAATCTGACCATCATTAAGAAAAGCTAAATAATTTCCTTTTTGGAGAGCTATTCAAACATGAGAATTATATGACACCAACTCCTAGTCCTTCCCTTTAGGCCCTATTAACTATAAAGTGGATAAATAAACCAATCTTTCTGTGTTTGGAAACCTGCACACACATGGACGAACTGCCAGGGCAGGCAATAGGAATTTAATTGTTCCTAGTGACTCTGTAGTGACTCTGTTCAAGGTATGCAGATGCTTTTGGAATGAAAGGAATGTAAATATGTTGAAATAGATCTTAACATAGGCCCTAGCTCTTAGTATGGGCAGAATTCTTGCCTTCAGTTTTTGACAGGTGGCATTTGTATAACAAACATGTTTTGCCATTACAAAACGTCATACACAGATTATCTGTAAGAGGTAAAATCATTGCATTTATTACAGCAGCACAGGGATTTCTCCAACCGAGATCAGGAGTCTATGACACAGGTTCCTGTATAGTAGTATATAAGTACTATTGTAAGAGACAGTCTCCCACTGAGCAGCTTACAGTATAAAGGAGCAAGACATCAATTAGTAGGAAAGAAATGTTACCTCTTTCCTTAGAATACAATTTCATTTCCCATTGCACAGGAAATTGGAGGCACAACTGCATTTGACTTTTTTATCCTCTACTTCTTAGTTTTTTTGCCAAATCCCAAGAACATCTTTACTGTTTTTTTTTTAAAGATAAAAAATACTGGAGGGGGGCCAATCCCTGTACCCCCCTGCACCAAATGACCAGCACTGACTATGAGCAGCCTTCCAAAGCCTCTGCCCCTGTTCCCTGCCGCTGTCTGCAGTAAGCCGTGCCATGCAGTGGGAAGCAGTGCCACAGTCTCTTGGCCAAGCCAGGATCTCCCATGGGAGTGGCAGCCAGTGGTGTGTGTGCCTGCAGCCCAGAAGGGGAGAAGAGGCTGCATTTCAGTGGATGGAGACCCAAGGGAGGGAAGCCTGGATGTCAGCAAAAGAGAAGTGAGGACCAAACAGTGTTTTGTAAAGAGACCAGTAACCTGCCTCATTGAGGGTGGTGCCTCCAACCCTGGCACAAGGTTTTCAGGGAACTGGGTGTGCTGAGGGTGACTATGACCCAGGCAGCTACTTCCAGACTCTCAAAAGCAGTGGTTTAAGGGCTTGCCTGAACCAATCATTGCATTCAGTCCACTTGTGAACAGCCACCACTGATTCTTCCCTGCAGAGATTAGGCTTATGCCTTTTAAACCCTTTCACATTTTTGGCCCCTATAATAAATACTGTGTGGCAAAGAGGTCAGTGATTTAATTGTGTGCTAGGGGAGAAAGTAGCTTCCCATGGTTGCTTTAAGACTGATTGTTTCATTAGGCCTTGTTCTTGTTTTCTGAAATGTACTGCCCACTCATTCCTGATTTACCTTCTACTTCTGTAGCCATAGGTGGCATATCGTGGGCTGCTCTGTGGCGTGATGACAGATGAGAAGTGGTGCATATTAATTGCAGCCAATAAAATGTAGTATTAGCTGTCTGGCTCCTTTCCATGTCAGTTATGTGGACTGGGCTGAGTGTGTCCCTATGCGCTGCAAAAAAGCTTCAGTGCTGGGACTCTCTTGTGGAGGGCAGGCTCACCCTGTGGGTCAGGATGCCCTTTTGTGGGGAAGGTCAGTGGTCCAAGCTGGGAAAGAAAGTGCTGAACTTCCGTTTGGATTGGAGGGAGGAAGCATTTGCTAGAGTGATGGATACTGATTCCTAAATACTGAGTATTTCCAAAAGCCAGGCTCCTTAAACATCCACCTGAAGCTGTAGGTCTGAGCCTGGAACTGATGGAAGGATGCCTTCTTGCATTGGTTTCTTGTCTACTGACCATCAAACAGCAGAGCAAGGGAATGTACAGGTTAATTTTGTTGTTGACCTCGGTGCTAACAACATTTACAACTCAGAAACCAAGAAATTGTCCTTTCCAAACCCATCTATAAAATCCTTGAGGAAAGTGTAAAAGTCACTTCTCAGTAGTTCAGAAATTCAAAAGATTCCCAGAGGCTGACAAAGGGCTTGTGAAATAAAATTCTGGGAGAAGTTGAGAGCTGGTATGATCACAGTCTGTAAACCCATAGAGGGGGAAAACTGTAATAATAGAAAGGAAGCAGGGTGTGATTCAAGGGGTAGAAAAGCAGGATAAGTCCTGACTAGAAATGCAACATGGAGATATTTAACAAATGACCACACTCTATGGCAGGGAGGGGAGATGTAGGAGGCGTTTCATGTGCAGCCTTTCCCCATGCAATGAATTCCTTTGTGTAAGATATGCTGTAACTCTCGGTCTGACGTAGAAACTGCTGAGGGAGTTTCTTTGGCCTGTATCACACAGGTGAGCAAACCAGATTCCTGCTGACCTTCCAAACCATGCCTGTCACCATGGCAGTCCTCATTACCTCACTCAGGCCAGATAGCTACATTCCCTGTAGCTTGCAGCCTGCTCTGTTGAGTTAAGGGCTTTAGAGAGGCTCTTGTTTGCTGCAGGAGAAAGAACTCTCTGCAAGAAAGATGGTGTTGTTTTTTTTTGTAAGAAACATTGCTTAGACAGTTAATCTTAGAGCCCAGGAAAGAAAGCCAATATACAAGTGGAGAAGCTGTGATTACTTCCCAAAGGTGTTTTCTTCCAGTCTCAGTTTCAACATTTCAAGCAACTGAAAGCTGCAGTGATTTTCTCTGAGAGACTTTGGAGCGAGCTTTTCACACATGGGGCTGCTGGGGATGAAGCTAGGTTGTCCTGTAAGGGCCATTATACTGAGAGCCGACAGGGAAAAGGGGTAAAAGGTGTGCAAAAGTTTGTTCTGGGGATTCTGGGAGGTAAGAGAGTGTCTCAACTTCCATTGCTAACACCTTGTGTAGTCCCAATATTTGCTCAAGCCCTTTTAAAGCCCGAGGGAGAGGGCAGTAAGATATGTCACATGTTTCTGTTTCATCTTGTCATAAAGCAGCCTTGCACACCCTGCCTTAGTTTTCCTACCTAGGAAAATGGAAAGAATAATAATTTGCCTATCTGTAAGGGATGGAAAATCTGCTTTTCACCCCATATTGCATCTAAGAATGGGAAGGCCATTACAAAGCAGGGGTAGAAGCAAACAGTATTAATAGTACTATTTCATTGTTCATGTAAAACTGGATTAAGCCCAGTGCTTAATAATACAGTGTTATAAATACGTTGTCTCCTCCTTTAGTTGTGTGCAGTGAGCTCAGGCTTTGTGAATTCTTGGGTTTTGCTCCCCCCTTGTGGTCTCGCTGTGATTTGCATCCAGGCAGGAGGGATTGTGAGAGGTTGGGTGACTGGTTTTGGACAGGTACTGAGTAGGCTTCATTTCTAATTTCTAATAACTATCCCAGCCTTTCCTCTGGGACTTCCCGTGGACAGGCCATCCCCCTGTATTACCTGCGTTCTTGTCATCTGGCAGAAAACAATCTACATCCTGACAGTACTCTGGACTGGGTCTTTGAATATTGTACTACTGTGCTTTGTGCAACATGAGTTTTCTTACAGAAAAAAACCCCAAACCTCTGTATCCTGACCTCCTATGGTTGTAGCCAATACCTAAAGGTTAACCCTCCTTTGTGCTGCTTTACACACAACCTAATTAGCAAATGGTCACTTTAAAACTGGTTGGAAGGATGTCAGATAATGCTCTGCATTGGCATTTGAAGCATGGGTGAAGCACTTGGAGCCAGTAGCTGAAGCAAGACCATTTCTCAATCTTGTTAGTATTCCCTCAAGCTGATTCACTTCTTCTGTGTCACAGATTTTAAATACCAGACTATTAAAATGAACGCACAGAGCAATAAATTACTAGACTCTTCCAGCTTGGGACTGTGTGAGACAGAAGGGAAGCAGAAGCCATAAACTGTAAATGACTTTTGCAGCCATTAGAAAATTCTAATTGTAATTGAGAGGGAACCACAGTCCTTCCTTCCCCTGTAAACAGGCTCAGGAAGATGCTGAAGGCCTAATGATGGGCAGGATTTTCAGGCAAGTGAAAGGGGCTCTGCCTTTTTAGGAGTTTCATTAAATAGCACAATGTTGAGAGGTTACATTTGGTAAGAATTTAATCAGTAATAATTTACTGACTTTCAAGTGACTTAGATTTCCCTGCTGGATTTTTTGCAGGCAGTTTATCTGGTTTGTATTCATGAATTGAGGAAGATTTGAATTGTTTCCATGTATTTAGTGAGTCTTCAAGTCTTGTGATCAAGGGATGACCCTGGTTCTTGGAGAACCAGGGTGCAATCCCTGGGGATTGTGGAGTCCATGTTTATCTATAGAGACAGCACTGCATCAGGGTGAGAGTATGTCTGCAGGCTGCCTAAAGGCTAAAGGCAGGAGGAGATTCCTAGCTGGATTAATGCCTGTGTTTCTCTGTGAGCTTGAAGTCTTTTTACTTGGAGCTCTGCTGATAGACTCCCTGGGTCCATTACTGAGGCACTTTCTCAGGCGTGCTGGCAAGTCATGGCCTCAGGTCAGCTCCAGTTCCCATCTCCTGACCAAAACACTACAGAAATACTTACGCTCTCTCAGCCTCTCTTTGCAGATGCACCTCCCCACACTCCAGGCATACCCAGCCTTTCAAAGGATAGGAACACCACCTATGCTGGGTGTCCTGGGTTCAGCACAGTTGTTCTCCTGCGTCAGATACTCTGAAATGAAAACAGCCCACCACCAGCCAAAAAGTCCTTGAGAAGCCCTGGGGGTATGACTGAATTCTGTGAGTGGAGAAGAATGGTTAATATTGATTAGTATGCACATGGATGCTTTGTACTGCTTGCCTTGGATACGTTTAGCATTCTTAGGCA